GAATATGTCGATGTAAAACGCGAACTTCAACTCGGGATGTCTCAGAATACGCGAACCACATTCCGTGTATATTTCTGATCGGGAAAGAAAGTCGACATAAATTTCCGCTCGTTTTGATTAGCAACGGAATTGCGGGGTTGCGTATTCTTTTCCTCGAGACACAACTTTCCGATCTCAAGCGAAAATATGCTCGAATCTGTCGATACGATACACCGCGGAGTGCCCTGTATGCAAATGCCCGCGGAGGTTTATTAACGCGGGCAAAAATAAGGCCGTTTCACGGATACGCAGGATGAATTTCATTCGAATAAGTCGCGTCGCGCGCTCAACGGACGGCCATGAATATCCATCACCGCGGGAATTTTTGCGCGCACGCGCGCGGCCATAGTCATTGCCTTCGTTTGAAATGAAAATCCGTGCAACCCCGGTAAATTTACATGTTCAGCGCACACTTTATGGCGTACACTCGGAAAATGTATAACAGAGAGGGTGGACGCTTCCGGATTATGCCAAGACTTGCATAAGTTATAACAGGATGGATCCTGGCGATTACGTTGGCCGCGGCCGGCCTGAGCTCACTTTGCCGCGAGCAAATCCATTTGAAGTCGCGTCTCTGCGCGCGGCCCCTCCTCGCCTAATCCCGTATTTTACTTCTTACAATTTCTGCATCCACGAAACAAGCTCCTTCATGCGCAAAGTGCGCATTTACGAGATGGGTGTCGCTTTTTAAAAGAATGAGGAGTTGCTGGTATTCGGCTGCAAACTACTCCCGGGGACGGGGGTTATACTCGCGTTTTCGCTTTGCCGTTCCTTACTTCGCCACTCTTCAGCGAGACATTGTGCGCTGCGCACAAAAGCATACCGAAGGCTGAAGTGATTGAAAAGTTGAAATATTCCGCGAATTACGTGGGGAGCGTTTTGTGCGCGTGTATATGTATGTGACCAGGCGCGGTATTACGTAAAGAACGCGAAAACGCTTCGTGCGATCTGACAAATTGAGGATACGAACGATACCTTCTCGGCTGTAAATTACATCGCGGGGAGATACTTAATGAGGCAGATCAACGTAACGAGTAACGAAAGACGATAATTTTACTAATCTCGCCGGAACATCTTAACGGGGTGGAGAGGATTCGCGTCCTTTCAACGGCGCGTTATTAAATCGAGCAACCGGTGGCACCTCTCTCCCCCTTCAAATTTTACGATCGAATTTTCCCCGGTCAATGGACGCGGATCCCTTTCGTAAAAATCCGTACGGTCGAGTCAGGCTCGAGATCGGGCGGGGATATTTGATTAATTTTCCGGACAATGAAACTCTTGCTCGCGTCGTTCCACGTCGAAGTCCGGGCCGTTTCCGCGCTGGCTTTCGTTACCGGGGCGAGCAGAAGGGGGCTTAATTATTTCCAACGATCCGAACGCGCAACACGCCGGAGGTTGAATTCTAACGACTGAATGGTGCCGCGAAATACGTGCCCTGCGTAGTCGAATCGCATGATTCGACTTGACCCTAGCGCGCGTGTCGCGCTCGATTCGCGAGCGAGCGCGAGCGCGCACTTGCACAATTGAATGGCCGGCTTTAATTGAAGTCGTGACCGCTGTTACGGTACTGCGATTATGTTCGCATGCGGTAATTCATTGCAACGCGAGGCAGCGACGCATTCGGCGTAACGCGCGGAGATACAAAGGCATCTTCCTATCCCCCTTCTCTCTCTCTCTCTCTCTCTCTCTCTTTCTCTCTCTCTGAAACAGAGAGATCTAAAAGAACCGCACAATAACCGCACGACTTAAGAATATATATTGTGCATAGTTTAAAAAAATGAAAAAATTATGCAACGATTACAAATTGATCTGCATTGCATTTAAAAGTGACCACCGAAAGTTTGGCGATAATTCAGATGGATCGAAAGTTATCTCACTTTAGTGAAGGTTGTAAAGTGACATGAATTCGATAAGAATTCGATAAGATTTGCATTGTGTATACATTGAAATATCTATTATCTAACTCATTGTTGTGTATTGTGTAATATCTATTATCTAACTTATTGTTCGTGCAATTGGAAAAAATTCTTGTGTGAATTATGATTTAGTGATTTTCAATTTGTTTTCCTTTCCTTTACTTTTCATCTCTCTCCTATTCATTTCCTCATGCTATATGTATATGTTAATAACAGTTAATTAAACAGTTCAATGTTAATTTAATAGTTACATGAAACGTAATTTACTTTTTATTTTTTGCGCTTTTGGGAACTGAATCCCGGGGCGCAATAAATATCTCCCCCCCCCATTTCTCTTTCTCTTTTTCTCATTTTTCCGTTTCTCTGTCCGTCTGTTTTCGAACGTTACTTTGCGATTTCGAGTTTCTACGGCGGACCGACTTTTATTCCAGAAGATATCTGCCGCGGTTAAAGCCTAACGATTCGCGCGCACCGCGTGTTTTCAAGTGCCTATTAAATGACAGAGGAAATCCGAGGACGGGAAATATTCACTGTGCGCTTTTGTGTGCTTTACAATATCCGATTATGCCAGCGCGCGCGGCAACGGTTTCTTTACAACGCGCGGCAATTTATCGGTACTTAGTGTGCGGAAAACGCGAAAGCTATTTATGCAGCTCGAACAGAGTCGCGACTTCCCGCGGTTTTATCGAATAACGGAGCGGCAGATCCCACGGTTTTTACCGCGAAACATCTTTCGTCGGATCTGAGGGAATTTTTTCACGCGGCAACAGAACACATCGCGCGCAAAATCGCGCTTTTCTTCTTTCATTAAAACAGAGGAAGAAGAATTGGGGATGCAAAATACTCGGCATGCAACTCGACCCGACGATATTCCCGATTTTTTTGCAAGGACGTATGACGCATGCAAAACGGAGTAACCGCCAGGGCGGAACGACGATATTCGGATAAGTGAAACGACTTCTTTCGGCGGCGAAGCACGACTACGAAATACAAACAGATCCCGGATAATTGAAATGCTTCTGGGGTCGCAAACCGGGCACGGAGAAGGGGGGATCGAGCGTTTTCTTTTTCGTGCTATGTAAATTGCATTACCGAGCGGCTGTTAGATAGCGCCGCGCGAAAAAAATCAAATCGCGCTCGCCGGTACCGCTCGTTTCCTCGACGCGCGGCGCATTAAACATTCATATTCTCGCGGGCGTAAACTTTAAAATTCCACCATGAATGTCGAACTTTCCCTCTATCGCGCCGCACGCCGCTGGAACTTTTTCTCCGACTTAAAAACGCCGTGAAACGTCCCGTAGTCGTAATCGGGATCTCCGGGCTCCTGTAACGAATATCTATCAGTGACTACGTTGATTGAAACTTTTTTCGGTACACCCACTTAGAGAGATATTTCCGTGAGCCCGAAGATACGCAAATATATTGCCGTAATGTAGATGTCAACTTATTTTGTCCGTGATTCACGATTTTTCAGAAAAAATTAAAAGAGATAAAAGGCCACGGAGTTAAGAAGGACGTTCTGCGCCCGCAAGCCTCGATGCTTCGTACTTTGTGGTAGCTTCGTTCCACTCCGGAACGAGATACGTCAAATCGCTGCGCACACCGCGAATTACAAATTTCAATCGCGTGCGCGGAGAAAAATAATTTTGCTGGTGTTGCAGCGAAACCGTCGTTACTACCGCATATTCGTCGCAATGCTAATAACATTTTACCGGCATAATCAAATTAGCGAGAGCCAATTTATACAGTTCCAGCAAATTCTTCTTCTCCGTACGCTTGATAAGTTTACCTTAGCGATTCCGCTTTTCGAGCCCGTTCCGCTGAGCGTGTTCCACTCTACCGACTACCAACTGCCAATTGCACGTTAGAAGAATACGCCTCGCCTCTCGAGCCGATCTTCTCAGGACTTCCTTCTCCCGCGAATTTTATTACAATCGCTTTGATTCGAAAAAAAAAAAACACTTGAAGTTTCTCCTATTCGCAATACGTCCCTTAACTTTGCTCCTCGCTCGGCGCATCCGAAGTCAAGCTCAAACTTTTTCGAATATACCTTCTCAAGCCCAAAAGATCCGAACAATTTAAACTCGAGGCTGAAAGTTTAAATTATCCGAGCCGCTCGACTATGTCGGAAAATTCCGAGTTCGCTAACCTCGACATCTCGCGGTTACTTGATCGCAAGTCACGTAGCTGGGAGCTCAAATACTCCGCCAGCCGCGAATATAACGCGCAAACGTGATAAATACTTAATGATACGCCTAGCAACGTCGTATCTCTTATTAGCTTTATTGATTTATAGCGTTATCGCGCGAACATGCCCGGGATACCGAGAGGTATTCGGACAGCAGCTATTTCATGGAGAATCCGTACCACCTGAACGGCTAGATTTCTTATCGAACGGACTCCATTTGTCGGTATCTCTGTGACCGGAAGCGTTACCGTAAGCGTGAACCGCATAATATATCTCCTGGCGCGCATTTAAGAGGTTAAGTTTTTGTCCCATGCGTGCCGAGATATATATTCGGGCATTAAATCTTCGAGATAGTCTCATAGACGTTTTTCTTTCATTTATCCGCGTCCATTGAAAGGCGTCAGCCGATCGAATGTCAGAAGAAATACCGAGAGAATTCAAATAAACGCAAAACTTACTCGGTGAGGTCTCGTCCGTGTCCGACATCAAACATCGTTTTCGGAGAGCGGAAGTTGAGACTTTACTTACGAATCCGACCGTCGACCGCCGTGAGGACGCTACCTATCGGACTCCTGTTTCACAGCCGACTTATGGCTCCGGAGTAGTCAGCTAAGAATGCGTTTGACGATAGAAGAGAGGAAAGCCTGAGAGCGGCCACGGCCGCGATAAAACTGTTACTTCATCTCGAAGCGCCTCTATGTAGTTCGTGCGCGAACTACGAAGCCAGCGTCCACAATTTTTCGGTTCTGTTCCATGCTACTTTCACGACTTTTTGGTTCTGTTCCGTACTATGTCTACGAGTGAGACCACTTACATGAAGGCGGACAATTTGTTCATTTTTAAGTCGTCTCACTCGTAGCACGGAATAGAACCAAAAAACTGTGGACTCGTAGTTCGCGCACGAATTATGGTCACAGAGGCGCTTCAAAATAAAGTAACAACTTTATTGCGGCCATAGCTGGTCTCAGGCTTCTGTTTGGCGGTAGGATCACGCCGGCGTGAATGTTTTTAGGTTTTAGGTTAATGTCTGATATCATCTTCCACGTGACGTAGAGGTTAGAACTCCTGAATTATTTACACTGCTTTACGCGTTTGTAAGCTGATTTACAGTATTTTTAAACGAAGAAATATTTTGTATAAAGAAAAAAATGTGTTCCTTATATGCAAAGAAATAAAATATCACCGACGATTATAGATTAATAAAATTAATAAGAATCTAATGTGAGAATGGTTTGCAGACTAAATGGGTCGTAAAGCAAAATTTGACGGAAGCCAGGCCCCGAAGGGGCCCGGAAGAAAGGCGAGGAAACAAAGTGATCCCACCTTTCCAAAGGAAGTTTTGGGTATGTAAAAATATTAATCACTTTCTGTAAAATTAATATAAGATCTTATCTAATATAATGAAACATGAATTTATATCGCAGTCAAGGAAATTACCAAATTGAGTCATCGGCAGAAGCAAAGGATGAAAAAGAGGTTACTAAAAAATCCAAAGCTGAAAGAAAATACAAAAAAGTTATTCAAAAAAGAAACTAATCCTGAAGAAGAACAGATTCAGTTGAAAAAGGTATGTCTTTCTTTCATATGATAAGTAATATAAATTTGTCACATAAACTTTTACAAACTAATTGTATTTAATTAATTTTGCTCATCTTCGTCATTGTTGAAATCCATATCATTTTACTATCACTATGAAAATTCATCCTGATAAGGTTTCTAAGCTACAAAATAAAGTAAAAGAAAGTAAGAAGAAGGAAATGAAACAAAAAATGAAAACTATTATAGGAAACGACAATAACGACAATACAGAGATTTATTCTAAGGTTTCCAAGCCACAAAATAAAATAAAGGAAAGTAAAAAGAAAAAGGAAATAAAACAAAAAGTCAAAGTTAATGTAGGAAAGGATAATAATGACAATATGCATTCTGATAAGATCTCCAAGCCACAAAATAGAGCAAAAGAAAGTAGAAAGAAAAAAGAAATGAAACAAAAAGTCAAAATTAAAGTAGAAAATGATAGTAATGATAATATGGAGATTCATTCTGATAAAGTTTCCAAGGCAAAAAATAAAGTGAAAGAAAGTAAAAAGAGAAAGAGAACAAAACAAAAAACTATAACCAATAACGTAGGAAGTGGTAGTAATAATGATTTCATATGTAATATGGATTTTAATAACGACGAAGATGATCAAGTTGAACAGGATGAAGAAGATATGAGTGATGATGAGTTGCTTTCCGTAACAAACTCCCGAAAGAAGTTAAAGAAAGCAAAACAGAAATTCATAACGAATACTGCAGGAAGTGATAGTGATATAGAAAATAATATAGCAGTCAGTGATGAGGAAGAATCTGGCGATGAAGATATGGAGCAAGATGAGGATGACAGTAACAGCGATGACGATTTACTTCCCGTTGAAAAGGCTAGTAAGAAATTGGTAAAGGAAAAGCAGAAGGAAGAGTGAGTAACTTTTCAGTCACCATTTCTAACAGTAACCAGTTATTTTCCCTTTTTATTTATATTTATCTCTTTTATTTCCTCAACCAAACAGGAAGCTCGCGCAGAAAGAAATGGATAGTATGATGTCTCAGCAAAGTGTATTCTCTTTTCCAACCGAAGAAGAACTTGCCAGTGTCACCAACTTGAAAGATATTCAGCAACGAATACGAGACGTTGTTATGGTGTTATCGGATTTCAAGAGATTACGCGATGGAAGTAGGTCGCGTTCTGATTATACCGAATTACTCCAACGAGATTTGTGTACATATTACAGTTACAATGACTTTCTAATGCTGAAACTGATACAAATGTTCCCACTGGACGAGTTATTGGAGTACTTAGAAGCGAGCGAAGTGCAAAGACCCATGACTATTCGCACTAACACTCTGAAAACGCGACGTCGCGACCTGGCGGAGGTATATTTCCCTTTCATTTCGTACACTGTGTGTCGACTCTTGCATCTAAAGTAAATAACATCTAATATCGCAATGTATTACAGGCTTTGATCAACAGGGGAGTTAATCTCGATCCATTAGGAAAATGGACCAAAATCGGTTTGGTGGTGTATTCGTCGCAAGTGCCTATGGGCGCGACGCCCGAGTATCTGGCGGGGCATTACATTATACAGGGTGCTTCTAGCTTCTTGCCCGTCGAGTCGTTAGATCCAAGGGAGAATGAAAGAATCCTCGACATGTGCGCCGCGCCAGGTGGTAAAGCCTCGCACATCGCTGCCGTCATGAAGAATAGCGGGGTACTGTTCGCGAACGACGTGAATCAGGATCGGTTGAAGGCCGTCGTTGGTAATTTCCACAGGCTCGGTATCGTCAATTCCATAGTCTGCAGTTATGACGGAAGGAAATTCCCCGCGGTAAAAAAACGAAATCATTATCCTTAATAGTGATTGAACGTGATAAAAAGAAAAAAGAGGATTTCCTCAGGACTTACAATTACGATCGTGACTTTCAGGTTATGAAAGGCTTCGACAGGGTTTTGTTGGACGCCCCGTGCACAGGCACGGGAGTGGTGGCGAAAGATCCTAGTGTGAAGACGAATAAAGACGAGGTGGATATTCAGCGTTGCTGCACGTTGCAGAGAGAATTGTTGTTGGCCGCGATAGACTGCGTTAACGCGCGTTCGGAAACCGGCGGTATCATCGTTTACTCGACTTGCTCGATCCTCCCGGAGGAGAACGAATGGATTATCGATTATGCGCTTAAAAAGCGCGACGTCAAGCTACTGCCCACGGGCCTGAAATTCGGGACCGATGGTTTCACGAGTTATCGGCAACACCGATTTCACCCTTCGCTGAAGTTGACCAAGCGATTTTATCCCCATGTACATAATATGGATGGCTTTTTCGTGGCGAAACTGAAAAAATTCTCCAATATTATTCCCAATCAAAGGAATGTAAACGAAGAAACGTCTGATTAAAATTTTTAATAGACTTTTTACAGTGGTTTCTTGTCTTATGATAAAATGACATGATACTGTGGATCTCTTAGGGCTACTAACTATTGCGTAAAATAATTATTTACAGGTCACCTGATATACAGTACTCTATGTTACAGATTTCATAGGCAATGAATGCCTAAATTGCCACGAGAGTAAATAATATTTTTTTAAATGTATCGATCATTTTTTTCATACTTTATATCACATATAAATTGTACAACTTTATGTAATCGCAAGATACTGTAATCCCAACTGCGAACGTACTAACCAGACATGAACGAATCAAACTTGGTAGTTTAACCAGTTAACTGTTTTTGACGAGTATACTCGTCAAAAACAGTTAACTGGTTAAATTGCATTTGTGACTAATAGGTTCGTGTCCGAGTATATGTAAGTGGGGCTCAAATATAATTATTATTTCAGAATGTATAATGCTTGTTAACAATCGGCGGGAGATAACAGAATTCTATTAAATCGTAAGGGAAGAAAATCATAAAAACGAGACGTAATGTTCGATGTTTTTCTGATAAACTCGTCAATGGAAAAAGATGCTTTTCAATTGTTTCTCACAGAGCCTTTTCACTTCATCTACAATACATAATGATATTATTATTAATGCGAACATCCCGGTCTAATCGAATTATCGTAGAACATACTGCACGTACCGTCGATTTCTATGATACTTGCACTCTTCTGTTGTATAACGACAAAGAATTCTCTCAAATTGGACAATTTTGCAACGACCCAGTAGTCGCTCATAGTCTTTATGATTATTTCACCAGCCTCGTTCAATCTGCGAATCAAAAAGTCAATTAATACACAATTCTTACTAAAGTGTATATATACATTTGAAATTTATGCAATTAAATGAATCCTAAAGACATACACACCTGTTTGTATCGTTGTATATGTCAGTGATAATCCTCAGCACTTCCGGTGTTGTAAGTACGTTAGAGCAACGTCTGTTGTCCAGATGTATTGTACTTTTGTAAGCTAAATTCAGCTTATTAAAATATAGGTACTTGGTATTACAAGATTCTGGCATGACTACTACGTGTTTAGCACATTGCTCGGCTACGAAACTGACTAATGTGGTTAATTGCGGACCCAAGAAGCTGTCTAAGCTTTTAAAAAAGTCTATTAACAAACTAGTTTTCCCTGAAAGAAAAGTGAACTTTACATCCTGACACGGTTCTCCCGCCGACGAAGAGATACACGACGAGATATTGAAAGTCTCACTTACTATCAACGAAAAGACATATAGTGGCGCTCAATGCTCGATATATCACTAAGTATAATGATACAGGTTTGGTGGAATAATTGATGAAAACTTTGGGCGATTTTCCAATTAGACTTGGCTCGTTGACACTCGCAGGTCCGGTGACGAATCTGTAAATGGAAATGTTTCTCTTTAAAAATGAACGATATTCGAGCAGTATATAAATGTTCGAATTAGAACATTTGAAATATATATTTCTCCTCTTACTTTCCATAATGCGAAGTTGTGAATGGCGAGGGGGAATTCCTAGGCATCGAGCCTCCATGCAATTCCTTTTCCAAGTGAGCCGGTAAAATTGTGTTTACCAAGTAATTATATACTACTTGCATATCTTCAGGCTCCAATCCGCTCCTAAGTGCATGAGACTTGTGTGAAAATTCATGTGTATAAGTGAATATAAAGGTGACAAATGTGCGACTTACCAAACAACTTGATCATTATAAAGAAACGCTGTGTATTTCACTTGTGTGAACATAGCTTCTACAAGATTCATAAAACACTGCACTCTAAGGAATGTGATCTTATCGAGAGGTAAAAACTGTAAACCTTGAAAAACATCTAAAATGTCGCTATTATTTAACTTTAGTGAGTGCAGATACTGAAACGAGCAAACAACACAGTAAGAATACAGGCCCATATATGGAATATAAATTATATACACCGCTTATAATTAAAGACTATTTTTCTCACTCGTGAATAAAAATGCTCCAGCTTGAGTTTCAACAACATCACAGACCCGCAATCGGGATCGTTAATAATAGTTTCAAAGGAACCCATAAATAACCTGAACATCATGTACGTCTGTTTCAATATAGCTTGGCAAACATTACTGGATACCTCGTCATTTTGATACTTATTACCATCTTTTTCTTTGTAAATATAGGGAATACCAACAATCTGTGAAACATTGATGTAACACGTATTAAGTCGGGGAAAACGATGATTTGCATTATCATATCGTATTATTTCGTTTTTTGTCTTACCATTACCATCCAAAAATTAGGTTCTGGTTGATAGTAAATTTGACGTGTCTTGTGTGTGTGGCAATAATCACATGGTTGCCCGGGATTAAACGATCTGCCACATGATAAAAAAGTTTTGTTTTATTAACCGTTCTCATCGAGTTGCGTGAAAAAGCTTAACTAGAATACATACTCTGTAAATTTGATTATCGCTTCGCTGAGTCCTATGTTCTTAATTTGAACTTCCACATCCTTCTCCGGATAGTAATACAATATTTTGTTTTGCTCCTGAAAATTTTTCGCACGTCGCACAATTATAATATTCAAACTGGAAAGAGATAAAAGACAGCACTCCCGGCACATAACTGCATACTCACCTCCCCTTCTTTCTTCGCATACGTGCCGTTAAAAATATAAAAATGTTCCAACGTGATCTCAGATTTCGAAGTCATATTACTGACTTGATATATATAAATAATAAAAGCCAACTATATATGTATTAGTAAATACTACAAGAATTTAGATTTCATTGGAACATGTCAACCTATGACTGCAGAAATTAACCTGTATCAGACAAATAATTGTTTTGATTTCAGGAGACAAGTGTCACGACCAAACAAAAAGCTTGTTCTTTTTAGTTGAATTTCTCGCACTGACACAAGGTTACTGCTACGTTCGTTTCTAGCAGAAATAACAGTAACAATCGCTCGTTCCTTCCCAAAGTGAAGCGGTAGTCGATGTAACAGCTGATTGTACTTTCTGTACTCGGTATTGAACGAGTGCAGAGACTGTCAGTACCTGCGAAATTTACAGCTCGCGTGAATACATATTATTTATAACATAAAATAAAAGGTACGATCTTAAATAATAATAAAAATACAAATAACAGAACAGAACGAACATTGGTTTAATATTTTTCAATATAGATTTACCGTAAGAAATGTGTGTGGCAGTCGATAAGAGTATCACCTCTTTCGGTAATGCTCGAGTGCTGTTCACTCGACTCGTGAGTAATTTTAGGTTAGGTCATGTTCAGTTTACTCGCAGTGATCCGGAGAATTACGTTTGTGTTTATAATAATATTGGATATCCTTCCTGCGTGCTTTGTAGCGGCGATCGTTGACAGAAAAAAGATGGAATCCGACGAGATTGAGATACCTTCGAAGTCGGGATCGAATATTCGAAATGACAAGAACGTGGTTATCGACTACGACGAAGACAGAGTAAGGTTAGAATTAATACGTTGCGTTCAATGTTGGGCGTTTACGAATTTATGTACATTTCAAAACACTCACTCTTTATATTATTTTTCGCTAATTATATTTGATATTCTTCGTCTACTTTGCATGCAAGACATAATTTGGATAATTTTATACATATACTGTTACTGGAATGGATATACTAATATCTATTTGTGAATGCCCAACACTACTTGTTTAATTTATTTTCACGCAATTTTAAATTTACATATTTACATATTTTGTGACGTTCAAGTATCATACAATGTTATATGATTTTATCATTTCAGCTTCACGAAATGACAGCGTCTTACTCTGAGATATCATTTGATTCGCAATCCTCGCCACCTATCTCGGAATTAAGATCGCTTATCGATTCCCCTGATATTGACAGTGGGAAGTACTTAGATGACAACCTAGATAAGATAGGCGGAGCTGGACACAGGCCGGATCAATTGAATTTAAGAAGCAGAGGCGGCAGTCCAACAGAGGATGACGATCTAGACCCACCGAGTTATCACAGGGCCATTGGTTACCTGAAATTGGAGGGTAGCGTAATGCAGGATGGAGATATGGTGTTGTTTGTAACGGAAAATTTGGAAAATAAAATTAAATTGTCCAGTCCTGTAACCAAGAAGGGTGATACCCCGTCGTTTCCGGGATCTCGAAGTTCAACTCCGTGCCTCTATAGGCAAGCCTTGACCCCTCAGTTACCATCCCTCGACCATAATGTATTGAACGAACTGGAAATGGAGGCTAGGAAAGTGGCAACTTCTGTGGATGCATTGACCGAGAACCTGGCTGCGATCTTACAAAATGTAAGTCGTCAAACTTGGAGTCTGGTCATACGTCACACAACAGTCATGTGATTGCATCGTTTGTAATTGTTTTCAGGCATCTGCTCTCACAGTGGGTTGCTTGGAGACTTACAGAGATGCAGTGTGTAAGACGTGCGACGCTGTGGATCATAATATTAAGTCAATGTACCAGTTGATGGCCAAGTGCGAGGAATTGTCCAAGTCGATGGGATCAATTTACAAGTTGGCGGAGCAGATGTAAGCGTATCACGATGCAAGTGCTTTCTATTTTAATTAAATCGATGTACGCGGAAAATCACGGCCTCGGGCAGCGAGAGGAACTCTGGTTGTTATAAACTATTATTAGCATTTCTATTAAATTCCCCGGGGAGACGACGCGATTCTTGTTTGTAAAGTCAATCAAGAGTATCTAACTGTAAATTATGATCTTAGTGCGAGAAGAAAATTTCGCTTTAATCAAATGCTAACAGGGCGTCGGCGCGAAAACGAAAGGGAGAAGCGCGCGCTCGAAAGAAAGAGGGAGAGGAAGAAAGGAGCTCCCTCCAGGGAAGGCGGGGACGCGCATATTTATTAAAAGTTTCTCGCACACGGTTCTCGGTGAACTATTAGCCGTCGCCTAGTGTTCGTGCGGCGGAACAGTGCATCGAATTTTAAACTTGAAACTCCTCGGTGTCTCCGGCAGAAGGAAGGGAAAGAAGGAGAGAAAAAGGAGCTCCTTCCCGGCGCGCCTCCCTCGATTCGCTCTTCGTTACGAGAATTAATGACGAGCTCGACGAGGAGATCTTGTTCACCGGGCTCCTGTCGCGAGATCCTTAACGCGACGGAAAGCGAGCCTGGCTGCTGCTCTGCAGCCAGCAAAAGAAAACAAATCTATTTCAGCTAATTTCGTAGCCGTGGCCGCCGTGAATATTGGAGTAGGTCAAACGGACCAGCAGGCCGTTCTATGTAAATGCGCGCCCCGCCAGATATGCGATCTATATATATATTCGACGTATATATCAAAATTGCTTCGCTTGACTTTTCAGCAAAGAGATGAAGAGGATGCTGGAGCTGTTTGAGAGCGCGATGAATCTGTGAGGCGGCCATCTCGATCTCGATAAATCATTCTGTCGCGGGTCGCTCTCGCTATTCTTCTTCAATGGATGCAACGTCGCACATTGTCGTCCGTTAATTTATGGTGCGGCGAGAGTAAGTAAAGCGGCGGAATATTGCGTTTCCGTTGATGTATCACAACAAATAGAATAATTTAGCGTTTATGTTTTCGAAGTTCTTCAAACGCGCGCGTACATGCATGTGTGTGTGTGTGTGTTTGCCCAACGGAGATACGTTCGGCTATCGATTCACGATAGATTCTTATCGAGACGATTAACATACGGAGGGGAGACAGTGTGGAATGCACAAGTATAAATTACACAACTTTAGCGGGTAATTGTAATAGAAAAACAGAATTAGCTCTCGCAGCTAAAAACTAACACAGGTAAAAATTAGTTGTCCGTGTAATACAATTGAAATTTAGTTAATTTAGATAATTTTCTTGTTCCTGTAACTAGATTTCAATTGTATCATATGAATAGCTAATTCTTTTTCCGTGTGCAGATAATAATTCTATATCTGATAATGGTTTCAACTTGAGCGACGCAGTGTGTCGGGGACTAGCAGTTTCGATGTTCCGCAATGTCGCTGTTGGATCAATTGCATTCTTCTAATTTATATACGTCGCACAGTGTTTTCAGTTTTTCTCCGCAATTACCTCCCCGTATATATTGTACATACGCTGAAACTATAAATGTTAAATAAAAAACCCCAATGAATACAACATAGACTCTTCCTGTTACGTCGAATCATCCCATTTGAATGAAACGAGAAAAAAGAACGCGCGTTTTCCGCGTGTTAATTCTTTATTCATACGCTTCGACGCACGTAAATCTGCGACCCGGATGGAAACAAAGCTTGTAACCCCGATGAAACAAAAAGAGAGAGAGGACAAAAACGAAAAAAAAAAGAAACAGGCGACAACTTTTGCAGTATGCGCGACGTCGCAGCAGAGGAGAGAGCGCGAGTCGGCGAGCGGCGCGCATGGGGCGAGAAGAGAGGGAAATTTGACGGGACGCGAGAGAGGACGGTGGTGGTGAAACGAGGGTGGAAAATGGCTCGGAAGGGTAGCAGCGACGTCTACTTTGTAACCGTAGACCGATACAGTCGGTGGAAGCGACCGGATATCATATTCCAGGATGTGCATTAGAGGCGCTGAGCAGCCGCCATCACGGTCCGTTCCCGTATCCCATCGTCGTCGGGCAACTAAATACAATAACGGGATGGATGACTCGGATGTTGGCGTCGGGGGTTAACGGCTTTCGCGACGGCGGACCACTTTTCAGTCGCCTTTTCGCCCTCGAAGCGGCATCAGGAAGAGGAAGGAGGGCAGCCAGGTCGCCCGCCCGTTCTCTCTCTCTGCCCCTTTTTGCGCGCCGCAAGGATCTCTCCGTTCGTTCCGACGTGGCCTCGCACAAAAGATGGTATCAACGATATCGCACCGTGTCGGGGCACTCCGAGTGCCGCTTGATAAATGGAAATTCTGAATGGGCCCATTAATCGTGACTGCTAGCTGAAAAATTAACGAGCCGCTCTCTTATCAGCGGAGTAACGCGTTTATTAAGGGTAGGGCGATCGGCGACTGCACGACGCTCTCGCGAGAACCGCGTGGTATCCCGAGGTTCCGCAGAATCTCTCCCCCTTGGGATCCTCTTGGCGCGTTTTCTCTTATTCATTATTACCGTAACGCCATTCTTTTAATTGGTTCACTTTATACAGGGTATTGTATGAACTTAAGAAGCATGTTTCTTATGCAAATTGAAATAGAAAATGTTTTATAAAAAGATTGCTACAGACCTGAGAAATTAGAAAAACCGGGAAAAGTCATGGAAATTTAAATTGGTCAGGGAAAATCTGGAAAAGTAAGGGAAAGACGTAAAAGAACGTGGAATTTTTAATTTTGCTCACAATTCCCTTAAATTTACATTAGAAACATGCTCCTTAAGTTTGTACAGTATGTCAAGTAATACTCTGTATAATTCTGTAGTTAGTTTTTATAATTATGTCCTACACTATTCTTATTATTTCTCTTTATTCCTCAAAAAAGTCGCGCGCCCACTTACAGGTTAATCACATGCCGCAGTATCGTCGCCCGGGTTTCTCATTATTGTATTCGCGTTCCCAACGCGCTTTCGTTCCTCCCGTTGCTGCCGTCGGTGTAACGCCACTCCGTATGTAACCACCACACCAATGTAATCTGCGGATGTAATCCGAATTCAATGCCGTCCGCGTCTCGCGCGTGTCTCGTTCGCGCTCATTGTAAGTCGCTTCTGGTCGCCCATTGTCCTCCCATCGCGAACACATTTCTCTTAATTTCTTCATTACCGTTTCCTCGCCGACACGACGAGCTTTTTTTCCTTCTCCTTCGAGCATGCGCCGCGCCGACCTTTCACGTTTTCCCGCAGTGGTGTGTACGTGCGCGCGTGTATCTGCATGCCGTTTGAAAATTTCGCATTTATCTATTCTCGATGCTGCGGCACACAATGTCAGAGGCAACGAGTAACTGGTTTCACGGCTCCCTCCGCCCCTATCTGTGTGCCCATTGTGGACTCGGGTTGTAAATAATGCCGGGCAAAAAGCCCCGGCGGCGCGTCGCGACGCGCGCCTCATTTAACGCATTCGTCCGGCGGTAATTATTAAAGCCACGATGATTTTAATCCCGGTCGGCCGGCCGGAGGAAGGGGAGGAGGGACAGAGAAAAAAAGAAGCGCGGCCGGTGCGCGATGGCGGACAAACACCTCGTTAATTTATTTCCCCTGACTCGACGGTCATTGAGAACACGTGCATACTGTGCGGCGTGCTCCAGAGGAGGCTGCCGAGGTGTAATCTACGCTACACCGGCATCGTGGGACACGGCGCAATTTACGTTGAGGCCTTACATAAAAGCTTCGCGTAAAAGCGTATAAAAGGATTATTTGTACACACAGAATCTTAGCTCGTCGTTGCTGCCGCATGGAATTCTAGCTCCGTCTGGTCGCATTAATTTCATAGTTCTAACCGTAGCTTTTAAGGGGCTGTTTCCTCATGTGCGTGCATCAACATTTCCGATTTTCTCCTCTTGCGTTTATCTCGAGTTTTTAAATTTCAAAGATCTAAATCGAAAGCACATTTTTTTAAACTAGTAACCAATGTTTAAAAAAACGGTTTGATTGGTCGGTTTAAAACTTAGTTAGAATATAAAATATATACCTCTTTATTGTCTGAACTACAGTCAACTTGATTCGTTAAAAACTCGATTTTTTATTGCGTTTTATAAACCGAACAGATGCGCAATGTTTTCTTTCAAAATACCACCATTTTATTATTTCTGTTGTGTTGATGGCCATTCTAGTTTAGATGAGAACTATATTCATACAGAGAAAATTTGGTTTACTGTTTCGGCCGACCGGACAAATCGTGGTCACCGTCAAATTCAATTCTTCTTGCCTTATAAATATTATCGTATCGCCAATATTATTAATTTTACATGCTTCCAAGCATGTGTGAAGCGAAATGTAGATTCACGGAGTGAATCATGGCGCGTGATAGATCGGCCAAGCACTCGAGTATCTCTACAAACGCGCGGTGTGAATGCGCGTCTGTGAGAGGCCGAGTAGCTCTTGCTGAAGTAGCCGTTGACGAGTGGCCGTGTGTGTCCACACGCAGCGTTCTTTCTCCCTTCGTCTTCTTTTCCCACTTTTTTCTCTGCTCTGCATAAAGTGGTGCTGGCGTTTGCTCGTCAGTCGTCGCTTGCAAAAGAAAGAGGAGAGAAAAAGATGAACGTAATGACTAAATAAAAGATGGAGCGGCCAGATAGCCGACCGCGTTCATGCCGGCCACGGATATTGTGCATGTCGGTCGACCTGGTAAAGCCGGTGCAAAGTTCATTTCGCGCTCCGATGTCGTGTGATCAGTGAATGAATCGCCAGGACGCGAGATTTTTTGCTTCTCCATATATGCGGAAAACCTTATCGCTGTCCCGGTAGCGAATGCCTTCGCGCTCGCCCACTTTATCTTCCACAAACTTGTCTATCTGTTTGTCCATCAGTCTGCCTGTCTATACATATGCTTGCTGGCGATATCACAGAAATCCTTTTATACCGTAGAACGAGAGGCCTAAACTGAATGAAACCGACAAAAGGGCGTATCGCCAGGTCGCGATAGGAACGCACACGCGCCTTTCGTTATCGGAGCGGATGAAGAAACGAAGCTACGAGTTACGCAGCGCCCCTGATCCGTCGCCCCGGCCTCGATCACAAAGTTACTCGTTCCGTCGCTTTGATCATACACCGTTACAGCCGAGACTTTCTTAGTAAATTACTCAGAGACGCAAGATGCGAATGTCATCCCGAGGGAGCTTGCCTCTCTGTCGCCTGGATCTCGCTGGAAGGATGCAAAACGAGGGAGGGAGGACAGGGACCGCGTTGCTGTGATGTCGGGCCCCGTCGAGAGGAACGAGGCCTCCAAGGGGAAACGCGAAATGAATGGAAGAAGGCGATAGACATAAAGGGAGCATCGAATGCATCTCGGTTCACAGGACAACTTTACCAAGTTTTGAAAAGATTTCGAAGTTCCGAACCGACCAATCACAGATATAACTTTCGAATCCGCCAATAGTAGGCTACAAGTTTCGAGCTGACCAATCACAGATATAAGTTTAGAATCGGCCAATCGCAGCTACAAGTTTCGAACCGACCAATCACAATTATATATGCTGTTTCAAGCATCGATCTTCGAGAATCTCAATCGCGGCAAACTTCAGTTTGCTGAGTAACGGTTACGTGGGATAAGCTGTGTCCGCAGGTCGTTCCGCAATTCCCGCAATTTTGGTTTGGCTGAAGATGAGTCTCGTGCGCGAATCATCGCCGGGAGTTCAAGGAAGTAAGTTCTACGTGTAACAGCCGCGCTGAAGACGACCATCTCGCAAAACGGTCGGACGAGAGTACCGAGCAAGATATCGCGTGTCCATTGGGGTTATATTTCGAAATCGAATCACCGTATCGTACGCCCTCCATCCGCCGACGAAATCGGGAGTGCGTATTATCATCGCCAGAAGCGCCGAAAGTAAGTTCGCGGGGTGTCATGTCGTCGTTGTCGAGGCTGCGAGACGCCAAGCGAAATAGGAATTGTGATAAGGACAGGCGACGAGCGGGATGAAGGAAGAGAGAGAGAGAGAGGGAACATCGCTCGACGGATCACAGACTGCTAATTAAAAAACTCGGCATCGCGCGACGCCCTTGCTCTCTCTCGCGCGAAAGGGGCCTCTCCTTTTCCGCGAGGGAACCGTCGCGTAAGAAACCTTTCGCCTTCCCTTTCATTTTCCCGCACCCCCTTCGCACTGCAACCCTCTTTCGAATGCATACTTCCTCTCTCATCCAATAGCCAATGAGTTACGGGAGCTGGTTCTCTGTCTTTTTTCATGCGCGAACTTTATACACAAGCTTTCTCTCTCTCTCTCTCTCTCTCTCTCTCTCTCTCTCTCTCCCCCTATTTCCTTTCGCGCGCGCCGGGCAAAAGTATACGTCTCATACCGAGGGATCCTGCGGCGAGGATCCCTGCGTATGATGCGTTATCCTTTTCACAGCTTCCACCCTTGGAGAAGAGGAGAAGAGAGCGAAAAAAGAGGATTCCCTTTAGCATCGCTCGGGCGGATCCTCTTTGAAGGGAAATCCCTTAAGCCGATTACTAATAAAAGTTGCGCATCATTTTGCGCGCGGTATCTTAACGATCTCGACTTCCGGGTGTGTATGTTAAGGATCGAATTTTGCGAGACGTCTTCCCGTGTGGCGTGTTAATGAGTGAGAATACCTCGCTCGTTATCCCTCGGCAAATTCGGCGATGGAGAACTCGAAAATGAGACGTTAACGTATCTTTGACGCAGTTTCCGTTCCGCGGTGTAAAATTAACGTATTCGACGAGACCGACTTGACGACTTGCAATTAAATGTCTATGAGAACTCTTCTCGCAAAGTAGCTTCGAGGATGGATTCATTTTAGGATAACATTTATCGTTATTTGCTTCGAAATCGGCTAAACGTTCTTATCATTTTTTCTCGCGTTATCGTGTAATATCTCAGAATGCATTTTCTTATAAAATCTTAAAAACAAAATAATTCGTCTTTTTCGAAATATTAAAATAAAACCACATGACTGCTTTTATCAGATTGAAATTACGATTAATAAATTGTGACAATTTTGTGCGCTCTCTCTCTCTCTCTTCCTCTCTCTGCAATACGTATTCCACATTTCTCTGATAGGGCGATAACAAGGCACTATAAATCTTGAAAGAGGCATGCACGAAGTACACGGTGGACTAAGTTCAAGGAACGAACCTTCAAGAACCAATTAAATCGTTATTCGCAAATTAAGTTTGGTAATTATGAGTGGGCTTCAAGAGCGACGCGAGACGTGGAAGGGTTGGTAGTAGAGTCGGGGATTGCAACCGACGTAGCTCGAACTTCGCAACTTTCGTCGCTTTTTGTGCAACTTTTCTTGTTAAGATCGCTATTATAAATTTTTGGCCCGGAGCCAAGTATTCCCGACGGTTATATATACCGACGGTGTTTGCTTACGCGTAGAGAAAAAAGAATTAATAATGATAATCGCGTACGCGCATCAGATCGAATTATTTTTATTTATTATCAATCATTAATAAATAAAATAGTGGTGAAATATCGCCTTTGCATAGAATTTTTGAGTTTTATTGTTCCAATTTTTCCGAGAATATGGTTGGCCGTCGCGTGACAGGTGCGAACGTCGGAACGAGCGAGATAATTAAGACGCTCTAAGGAATTATAAAGACGTCTTTCAGACAATAAGACGTCTAAAGGATGCCTTTGAAGTCTTTGACGTCTTTTAGACATATATGTTGTCTAGAACAGATTAGTGGCAAAGAGAGTAGACAGAAAAAGAGAGAGAAGGGAGAAAGAGAAAATGTAATAGAAGGATATATATACATTGATGTAGAGAAGTATTTGAATATAACAGAATGCAGAAAAATGTAGGACCCTTGAATATCTCGAAAATAACAAGTTTTAGAATATTTTAATAAACAAATATTTCAGACAAAAGTAAATTTTTGAGAGAAACATAATATCATAACTTTGATTTTTCCTTAGGTAACGTTTTCAAAATCGTTTCAAAGTCAAGCTTAAATGGAATCATATAATTTCTTCAATATAAATCAATTTCTCTGATATTTTAAATTTTATCCTAATATTTTTCAATACAAGATATTAAATATCTCATAAAGTATTCGTTTTTTCTCACTTTAACAATTTTGTACGCAAAATAACGCAGATTTCCTTAATAAATATTAAATTGAAGAGATGATTATATAATTACCATAAAATCGATTCCACATCCAGAAATATATATTAAATACTTTTAAGATTAATTTTAAAAGTTGAATGCGTGGAAGGTAAATATCTATTAGCGAGCGCTTGAAATATTGCAGAGGATAAAAAAGGGCATAAAAGGTGCATACGACGCGTACGCTGTTTGCTAGTTTGCATAAAAAAATTCTCCACACATCATAGTGCGCGTGTAACAATAGTTTTGGGAGGAAGAAAAAAAGTCACCCTATCACGTCGCGCAACACACTCCGACACGCAATAGACGCGCGAAAGCACCCAAGGAACAAACTTGCCGCGCGCGTTAAAAGGAGAAAATAGAGAGAGAGAGAGAGAGAGCGGTCACGCTAGGTGCAGGGTGCATTGTGCAGACTGGCAGTCGAGCAAGCAGAAGTCCGTGGTCCCTTGCATTTTCCTCCTTTCTCTCTCGTGCCTCGTCCTTCGCGTCCACCACCTCTCGCCGCCAGCCTCTCTCCGTCGCTCTCGGATCCTCCGTCCTTTCGGTCCTTTCTTCCATACGTCGACTTTGCCGTCTCGCCGCAACCACCGCGTTCGCCGCCGCGTTTCCACCGCACCTTTTTCAACTCGCGACGAGGCCGTCCGGCTCCTTTTCCACGGCGTGGCGCATTTCCCGCGGCTTTTCCACGCTGAAAACGCTACGGCGGAAGCGCCGTCAGATAGAAAACCACATGTTGCGGTTTTTCATAGCGTACAGTCGCTCTTTCTCCCACTCTTGTTCTCCCTCTCTCTCTCTCCGGCAACACGAGATCTTCGGCGCCTCGGTAAAACCTAATGGAATTTTTTATTTCGCCGGTTACGAGCTGGGCGGATCTAATGAGAATCCGACAAGTTTCGGCGCGCCGCTAGATCTTACCTCGTCACGCTTTTTATCGCCGTCATCGTCGTCGTCGACGGGTTCTTCGCTCGATTATTTTCGCGTTATTTGATCCGCGCGAGGCGGTTTTGTTTTCCATTGACTCGGCCGCGAGTGGTAACTGGATTACCGTTTATTCGATTCGAACGCACGCTCGCGCGTTTGCTGACATCCATATGCATGTGAAAAAATTTGTTGACACTCGCGTGAATGAAATTGTTATTTTGCTGAAAGGACACCGATCCCTTTGTTCCGGGGGACGATCGCGTTTGATAAAACTAATAGATTGTTACATCATTTTTTTCCGATCGCTGCGAGGCCGAGAGAGAAAGCAAAATAACAACGAAATGCGTTGAAATTCGCTATGAGCGAGCAATCGTCGCGCAGCAACAAGCATTTAAATGCATCCTCCTCCGCCCGATCGTCTTATTTCCTCCAACGGAAGGTAGCTTTGAGCGTTTGATTCTCTCTCTCTCTCGGATCTACGCCTATTCCGATTTCGGTGCATTGTTTACTCTCTTTCTCCTTCGCGCCGCGCTTGGACGGCCACCTCTCACGCTCCATTGCTCTTTCTCGCTCGCGCGTTCATCCTCGTTGTCCTTACGGCCCTGCCTTCTCGTTCTGTCTCCGTTCCACCTCCCGCTCCCCTACTTCCTCTCATGTGCTCCAGGACTTCGGTCTTCGTCGGCTGCGCGGGTGGGGAGTTGCGTTCTCGCTCGCGCGGCCGAGCACGCTCCACACTTGCGACTCGACCGGCGCTCATTTCAGTCGACGCTGAGCCGTCGCGCGCGCGCGTTGTTTCAAATTTTTCCGCGCCTTCGAACTGTCGCGTCTTGTTCGCTCGCGCGTACGTGTCACGACGGTGTGCGCTCGCGGGAGAGAGGGTACGGCCGAGGAACTCGTGTGAGAAGATCGCGATACGACATGGCAGATTCTCGGGGTGATGATCCGGCACGCGTCGCGTGAGTGCATTGCTCTCGATCCGGCGGCCGATCGGCGAACAAGTGAGACGGTAGTGTCGCGCGTCGTCCGCTCGTCGCTTCGGGTTCGTTTGTTGGATTATTGTTGATTGTTCCGGCCTGATCTACCGCGACCTTCGCTGCGCGTCATCTCGTCGCACGGATACCGGGGGGTCGTCGGACGTCGGAGCAGCTGCTGGAACACTCGTCGGAGCAGACATGGACTTCGTAATATTGAAGGTACCATTCATAACCTCTCTATCGTCCGGCCGCTAACTTCGGGACACGAGCGCGCGGGAGCAATTTGCTCGTCCGGCTCGGAAGATTATTTTCATCATGATAGTGTTATCGCGATGTTAACTTGCGAACTCTCTTTCGAACAAAGATTTTACGGAAAGTGCAGATAAATATTATGGGCGACACCGTCTATTATAAGGATATCCGTTTACGATAGCCGTAAACTATGCATTAAGATGTAAGCAGTAAGCTAATTGACTGTAGTTGAGTCAGTTGGATTATATTGTTTAAGTCTTACTGCTTTACGGCTATTGTGACACACAGAAAAACGTAAACAGTAAGAAAATTCACCAATCATAGTCGGTCACTCTTTGATCGTAAGAAGAATAATCGGCTATGATTGGTCAATTTTACTATCGCTTAAATCTTACTATTTACGTTTCTTTCTGCGTCACTAGAGCTTCACTCTGACAGTCAATCGGTCCTCCGTTGGACTAAAACGAAAGTTAAACGTAAAGAATGCTAGATCATTAGCTTCATCATCAGTTTTGTTCATGCCTCTGGTATACGTATGTAATGCGATAAGCAGGAAGCAGATTCCTTCCGTCGATAACAAAAAATATTGTCGTTTGTATAAGCACGAGGCTATCGGTGTCTTAAAGCAATTTAAAGTGTATCATTCTCTCCTTTTCTGTCGCGTAAGAAACGTACACACAAGTCGAAACATTCCTCCCTACCTTTGTTTACTAACACTCCGAGGCTCGAGTTGCCCGGTTTTTACGAAGCTCGGGGACGAGCGGGGGTTGCTTTTCGCAAGAAAAAAAAACACACGCATATTAAAATATTCCTCGCTTTCTTCGCTGATAATGTTTCGCAGTTGAAGTTAGCCGGTTTACGACGTTCGCGAGAAAAATTCGTTTCGGTAAAGCCGCTGTCTGTGGGCGATCTTTTAATAAGCGTAAACGAGAGCGAACTTCCCTATGGAGAGCGACGCGTTGTACCCGAGTATTCATCGCGCCAAACGTGCCTTATCCGCATCCATATCGTTGGCTCTTGAGACGAGTCGTGCACTCGACGGCCTGTGTAGGAAGTTACGAACACGTTGCGCGAACAAAAACGAGCAATCGACTCGTTAACTCGTTTGTGCATTTCGCCTTGCCTTGTAGCGCGATATCGAGCTCGATTACTATCAACATTATTTACCATCAGCGTTATTGTCAGCATTATTTATTCAAAGAATTCTTTTCGTTATCTGTTTTTGCTGCATTTCTGTCTCAAAGTATTCGTCACTGTCCCTTATCCTTTGCTTCTTTTTTTCTTCCTTAGAAACCCTCAGGAAAATTCTCGCAAAAATTTTCGAAAGTATACGGTAAAAAAAAAAACATTTTGTACTTGTGTTAAACTCGGTTCTTGTTAACGTTTTTGTATTAAATTTTTAACACACTCGTGTGTTAATTTTACATATTATGTTTATCTCAACATTTTGTGTTGTGTTGATATTTAATAAGTGTAAATATTAAATACATTTTATATTTTAATATCGCAATTTTAACGTATTAATTTTGTGTTAATTCTTAACATGTATGCGTTAATTTTCAACGTATTCATTTTGTGTTAAATTAACTTTAAAACTTGAGTGATGTCGTTTGACACATGTGAAATGTGTTAAATTTAATACAAAATCTTTTACTGTGTAATTCATCGAAGAAGAGTCTCTCGAGCCTTTTACATTTTTCCTTCGACTTGAGAACGATTCGTGGGTAATTCGCACGAATTTCGGTGATTAATGCGAGTGAGAGGGAAGGGAATCGTACGAGTGGAGTAACATCGAAGTCGCATTAGGCTGTAGTAGCAAGCTAATAATGCCGTTCGGCCGTGTAACGGTCGGCCACGCCGTACAGAGACAAGAACGAAATCGATTAAGCGCTGATCACATCCATTTCCGCGTTCTCCGTCGTGTCGTGATTTGAATAACGGTCATTCGGTGACAATGTCTATTCGGCGAAATTACATTTTACGTTGTGAACGTGGACGGGGGGGGAGGGGGGCTTCAAAGTCCCCGGCAGCTCGCGCGTGGCGAGCCGGCGCGAACGCATTACGATGCATTTACATCGAGTAATAATACACATGACGTTTATAGACTCGCGGTCCAGACGTAAATACCGCGCCATTAAGCGACTCGCTGCCATTGGCGCGCCGAATAAGCTCGGAAAGCGCGCCGATATAAAATGAATATTTGTATAACGTGTTGCACAAATAGAGCGACCGAGTGCTACGTCGATGTCATGCCGAGTTACGGAGATCCCAATGTATGCATACATACTCGCGAAATTCGCCGGTAAAGAACTTATTTACCTGTCGCGCGTCGGTAATTGAGACACAGGCCACGGGGAAAATTTTCCCGATCTCCACGAATCTCCTCGAATGCGGAGATTGAGTCGAGCTGGATCTTCGCCGTTTATTTGTCCTGCTTTTTTTCGCCTTTGCGTAAAAAGAAACTAAAGTGATTCAGATACGACACGCGCAGGCGTTGCTGGAAGGGGTCAAAGGTTTAAAATACGCGATCTTTCGCATCGATGCGCGCTGAAAGCGGGCGTTTCCAGCTGGTACGAGGGAAACGAGAAGAGATAGCGAGTGGCTAAACGATTTCATAGTGCGTCACGGTTAAGTGTTCTGCGCTGGGTTAAGAGGTTAGATCGCTCACACTTTATACTTTTGCCTATTCTCTCCCCTCTCTCTCTCTCTCTCTCTCGGGCACACCCACACATTGTAATTACTGCCGAACGGCAGCGCGGGCGCGCGACGCTCCAGTTATCGTCGTGTTTCGCGCATGTAGCATTGGAATTTCGCCATGGCGAACATCTGCATTTTTGCGTGGCGCACATACCGCCCGCCCTTTCGTTCTCGCGCGCCACTGATGTGTATTTCATGGAGATAAAGCTGGTCTGGTCAGTTTCGGTGTGACGCTCCATAATTTTTTTCCCGCTCTCGCCCGCCCTCCTCAGCGTGCAATCTGTGAATAGAATATTTCTGGCATGCGAGCTCGGAATGGCGGAAAATTGTGTTAAATCCGGTTAAAAATGTCGATAGACAGTTCGAACTTTTTCCGGTAGGGAAGGGGGCGAAATTTATCGTTTTATGTTTAATCACACTCGGCGCACAAACACATACACCTATACACACAGGCAAGGAAATGCGATGCTTTCCGCGTACATAAAATAAAAAGTATATTATCGTAGCTTGTGTTAATTTTTTTACGTTATAGCTACGATTTGAAATATTTTATTTAAATATTCATATATTTTGTTTACAAAACGAAAGAAAAATAAAACAGAAATACGAGTGGAATTACATCCCGAATTTTGTCGCGTATTAGAGAAAGTCGTCTCTGAATTGGACATAAGATGTTTGTTCGTAAATTGATTTTCTTATGGATCTTCCCCAATTTTAACAGCACTAATCAAAACATGATCTACATACACACACACACACACATATATATTTATATATTCTGTGTTATTTCCACGTGTATATTTTACATCACTAAACTTCCTGAGTATTTTGTAAAGCAAATTATATTGATATTCTTATTCAAGTCTGCTAATGGAATAAAAGTTTGACCATTTATTGTAACTTTTCAATGTTTAACCCTTTGCACTCGAGGGCTCCGGAGCGGAGCCATTTAAAATTTGTCTTCAAACTCTTCAAACTCAAATGCAAATAGCAAGAGCGGAATATCCTATACACAATAGTTTTTACGATTTGTCTTTGTCCTTATGTTATGAACTGAAAATTATTTGCATTGTCTCCATAGCGGAGCCCTCGAGTTTGAAGACAAATTTTAAATGACTCTGCTCAGGAGCCCTCGAGTGCAAAGGGTTAATGTTAATTATCTTCATAACTAATATCAAATCTATGACATAATCTTGGTATGAAATTCACGTATCGTCAAAGGGAGCGCTAAAATATTCGCTTTTTCAAAGACGACATTTCGCGATTCTTCGCGCACGAAAGAGACACGAGTGATCACGTGTGCAGCGAGGGTCTTGCAGCGGGATACATAATTGATCTCGAAGGTCAGCGCGAAGTGTGGCGAATGGAAACGCGTAATTTTCGTTCGGTTCAAAGTAGAAAGTTACGATCGTCTGATGGAGTCGCGCGACATTTTGTTCCTGTCTCGTCAAGATTCGCCAAGTCCCGACAACGTAGTTTTTGAAGCGAGCCGTGCTTAACGTGCGCCGCGATCGCAAATACCGGCAATGTAGTCGCGCGGCGTCCACCAACCGAGTGCATTTGCCTTGTAAGTACGTCGGCATCATTATGGCTCTCAACCCACGCTTATCATTCCGAGAAGCCAGGTGTACGATAAACAATGATAAACGGGTTTCCACGGAGCTGCCGTGGTTTACCGCGTATCAAGCCATTCGTCACGAAGCGAGATACGGAGCCGGCTTTTTACGGGGATACCTTTCCGCGTGTTTACCCGAGTTGAAATTTAGAATCTATCGTAGATCTTGTAAGTACTAATTTACGCCTCTATAATAGCTCTTTAGGTTGCAGGTTCCATGATGAACATGCGTCAACGTTCTTTTTCTATTTTTCCGTTTAATCTTATCATTCAAATTTGAATCTGAATCCAAATTTTAATGTCTACATATAAAACGTAGTCTACAATCGGCGGTAGAGATATGTTAATAAGAAATAAGAATAAGAAATTGACCAATCATATTAAAATTTAAGGAAAATAATCGACTATGAATGGTTAATTTCTTACTCTTACTTCTTATAAACATAATCCTATTGTCCATTATAGACCACGCTTAATTGTTGCGTTTGGACGTGTAAATTCTATCTTAGACTTCTACAACTCCTTCCGTTTTATTTTTTATAAATTTTTGAATTTTATCGGAATCTCTTCAATGTCATTAAAAATTGATAAACTGATTATGAAAAAGAAAAGTTTGTGGTTTCACTATATGTACTCATTAATCTTCGAATTTTTT